TCTCAAATATAATATTCCTGAAACTAAAATCATATTCTGTGCTGCTCTTACATAGTGATTCCTGCCTTGTTTTCTCTCTGAATAACCATCTTTGCCTAGGAGTCATCCACTTTCAGGACACCTGTTTTTTCCTCTGTCCCCACTTTTTATCTAGTTTGTCACCAAATTCTGATTATCCTTTCAGTAGAAAATGAATACATCTTTTCTTTTGTCATAGTTGGACTAGGTTTAATTACTGTGGTTCTTACAGCTAAAGGACTCTATTTAATATAAATATCACACTCCTTGTTTTTGCCATGTAGTTTTCAGTGGCTCTGTTTCACCACGTGGTAAAAATGTATGGCATTCATAGTCTGTCTCATATATGTGCTTACCTTTCTAGATTTCATATCATTTCTCCCTTAGACTTATGCTTACATGCATTACATAACAGTTCCTATAAACACCCTTGTTATTTGTGTGTGATAGAGACCTCTACTAGACACACTTCCTTTCTGTTGTCTAATACTGTTTTGGAAATGTGAATTTGGGGTACTAACAATATCCATATGGATATGTCCAATAGAATGTATCTTTCTAATGTGTACTGCTAACTCCCTTCTCTAATTAGTCATTATTTTCTCTGTAAGATCCACAAAACAATTCCTAACATATAAGCACTCTGCCAAATTCCCATGATATGTATTCTATATTAGCATTACATACAGTAAAATGAATTATTTATTGCAACTGAATTTTTTGCTTGTTTGTTTATATGTATCCCTCTTCTTCTGACCAGACATTTCAGGGATAAGAATGAAATCCTCATTGGCTCACACATGCATAATAAGTTGTAAGTAAATGTTGGTTGAATTGGTGAATTAAAATTCTCTAACAAAACACTCATTCCTTGCTTTTTTGTAGTAATTTAGAACCTAAATACACATTCATGCAAAATCTTTAATAAGTCACTTAACTTCTGTCAGTTGATCTGTTCTAAATTAGTTTATTCATAAACAGTTTATTATGTGATGATGGTTGCACACATTTGTAAGTACAGTAGACTACAAACCATTGAATTGTATACTCTAAGCATTGTGTTTGTGTAACTTAGATGGCAGTAGAGCTGTATTTTTACAAACTATAGAGTATAACCATTTTAAGAACTGAAAGATCTGTGGCTGATCTATGGAGAAATTAAGGTGAAATTCTAAAGAAGTGATAGATTTAGTAAGGTTATTTTTAGGATGTTGCTCCTTTCCTTAGACATGGTGGGCACTGCTGAATAGTTGAAGGGAGAAGTGATCTAGTTCTGTTTTAATTCTGTCAAGATCATTCTGGATATAGGCTGAGTGAAGATGGGAAGGGACCAGAAGACTTGCAAGGAAAGAAATGTGTTATATATCTGCTTCCGCCTGATGGTAGTTGGACCTGAGGAGTGAGAGTGGAATTAGAAAGAATTTGATAAAATAGGCAGATATTTCAGAGGTAAAATGTGGGATGGTGAAGCATGATTGACAAAAAGGTATCATATATCATTCCAGAATTCTCAGTTGTACTAACTAGATAGATAATGCTACTAGTCCCTAAGAGAGGAAATATGACCAGTGACTAGTTCTTTTACAAAGAACTATGAGTTCTGGCTTAAATATAGCAAGGATGAGAAGATGCCATTTGGATATAGGAGACTACTTAGGGGCAGGTCTAAGCTGAAAGTGTAAGTTTCAGTTACCTATTTGTGGCTAGAAGTTGAACATTCAGCCTTTGAGACTGCAAAGAGAGAAGAGAATTTCTAGCCCCTAACATTGAGGAACTCCAGCATGGGAAATGGGTTATGAAAATAGAAAGTACAAAGAAAAGGCTGGAGAAGAACCAGGAGAGTGAGAGGAGGTAAGGGCATAAGTGTGCAACTTTAGATGGACCTAAGTCACTTGACAGTGTCAAGAACAGCAAAGTCTACATTGCCAGTTTGATTTGGTGTTGTAAAGATTGGTAGTAATTTTGATGAGAAGTACTGTGAAAGAGTGGTAAATGATAAGAGGTGATGCCCAGTTTGTAGTAAACAGTAGGGAACCATATAATTGTGATCTTGGTTATGTTCTAAGTAGAACTAGGATCCTTCCTTAAGAATTTGTTGCTGTCAGTTTTCCCACTGGAGTGGTATATCATTAATATCTTTGTCAAAATAAGTGAGTTTTGTGTATGTGGAAAAGTTTCTGAGTCAGGGAACTCCTTTCCTTGATAATTTCATCAGCTGTCACAGGGAATTTCTTGTCAGCCTTGGAATGCTTGTCCTCCTCTCGATACTCCTATGGAACTTTTGTACAACTTAAATATTCACCCAAAGTTTTGAGGTCACTCAGTTATTTATTGGCTGTTTTATAAAAGAATCCTTGGGTTCTTAAAATGTTGTCCAGCATTTATCATTTTCTCACTGTTTCCCAATTTGTTTCTAATGATACTTGCGTTATGAAAGGTTCATAAGCTTGTCACTTTAATGGATGTGGTGCAGTTCTGAATATTCATAAAACCTCAGAATACAGGCTAATGTAGCAGTCAAAGTGAATAAAATTATGGACCAACTCCCAAGATGACCATGTATCATCATCTTGCCTAAGGACTCTGGTAATTGTTAGTATCATTTAAAGTTCCTAAGTGTGGTAACATTTAAAGTTCTTACATCAATACTACCCTCTAAAATAAGGTATGGTATGCTGTAGTAATGCAGGTTTTTTGTTTGTTTGTTTTCATAGTTGGTCTTGCAAAATTCCAAGTTTTATTTCTTTTGTTTTTCGTACCAGGGATCGAACTTGGGACCTTGTGCTTGTGAGGCAGGCGGTGGCATCACTGAGCAAAATTCCCAGCTCCAAGTTTTAGTTCTTTAATATTCTCTTGTTCCTAATAGTCAATTCTTAACTACTTACCCCACCCCATTTTTTCCCTGTACCAGGAATCAAACTCAGGACCTGGGGCTTGCCAGGCAGGAGCAGTGCCCCTGAGCTAACTCCTTGGCCCAATAATGGCTTTTTACTAATTTATTTTATGCTTGCTTTAAAATAAATTCTTTTACTTGATACATACTATTTACCCCTTAAAATTAGGAAATATTTATAATTTATTTCAGAAATAAATTGTTTTGCAACCATAGAGGAATATATTGCTTACATTCTGAGTTTAGTATTATTATTTAATTCTCCAGGTGTTTAAAATTAAAATTAGGAAATATTTATAATTTATTTCAGAAATAAATTGTTTTGCAACCATAGAGGAATATATTGCTTACATTCTGAGTTTAGTATTATTATTTAATTCTCCAGGTGTGATTTAACCAACTTGCTTCATAGTTTAATGGTGGGGGGCATCTAAGCCAAATAAATTTTTTTTGAAGTTTTACTATCAGTGTGAGGAATAGTATGGATCACATATACCTTACCTCTAAAGATGATTAAAAGATTCAATCCCCGGTACAAAAACAAAACAAACAAACAAACAAAAAAAAGATGATTAAAAGAAATAAGAACAACAATTCTTTATAAACCATGAATACCTTAAAACATGAACTTTTATTAAAATCCAAAAAGAAAAGCCCTTTATAAGAAATACTTGGTAACTCATTTCTCTGAGCAACTATACTCCCCTGCTGAATGCTTCCTATATCTGCCTCAAATAAACCTCATATCTCTTTAAAAAAAAAAGAACTTCTTAGTTTGTCTGTTTTTTCCTGACCAAGGAATACAGTCTTGGCAATCTAGAACAAGAATTAGAGTCAGAGCACCTATTCTTGTCTGACTTTACTGTCATTGTCATGTATCATAAAGGTCAAAAGTCATCAGGTGACACCTGAAGAAATTTCAGACCCTCTTTCCCTGTTTTCTACTTTGACCTGACTTTGAGTTTCAGTTTTAGTTGTTCACATTGAAAGTATGCCTTTAGATAGCTTATAAATCGACAGAAAAAAAAGATGAGAAGCTACCTTAATTGGCTTAGTGTCACCATAATATATGTTCAGAAATGGTAGTGACTTAACATTTACTCATTGCCAAGTGGCTGTCTCCTTGTATTCTAAAGGTCATCCATTATGCTTAGTGGCTCAGAAATCTCATGAATACTTCCATGGGTAAGATAGGTTACTTTGAAGAAAGCTTACAGAAAAAAGGACATTATACCCTAGAATTACTTTGGAAGTCTTGTAATAACAATTGGGAAGAATTGACAGTTTTTATCACAGATCTTCATTGATGAGCTTAGTACTTATACTTAACTCCTTAAAATTGCATGCCAAATTTTCTTGTAGACTTTCTAGAGGAGTATGTAGTTATTTCCTTTCTCTCCCTAATAGATGATAAATCTGGCAGGTTAGGGACCCTGTCTAATTCTTTGTATCCCAAGGTAAGTCTTTAGTACTTAACCAGTAGTTGGTGAAATGAATGAAAAAATAAGTAATTCATTTTTCCGTACCATAAACTCAGCACTCATTCAGATTATGAGTTTCATTTTCAGAACTTTTTATCAGAAATTGAATTTGATAAGGTCCACCCACTTTCACACCTACTTCCAGCACTACACTTACATACACTTTTGTCGTTTTTTGTTTGTTTGTTTGTTTGTTTGTTTCTCTTCTCCACCTTTTGCAACAGATATTTAGATCATTATTTTTAGGTCCCTCCTCTTTTATCTTCTACTGTAAAACAGATCTACTTTCAATTCCTAGTTTGTACTATACGTCTCACCTTCTAGTTCAGCCATATTATCTAGTAATATCCACCTAAAATGTAAAATCAACTTTAGAGGTCTTTTCATCAACAGAATTAATGAGGTGGCTCTGAAATGCTAGTATGTTGCCGGAATTATAGATCATATGTAAAGAATAAAAGGAATTTGTCATCCCTATTTAAAGAATTAGATCACAATTTGTATTACACTCATTGGGTGAAATAAGTGCTTATTATAGGGCATGTTAGCTTTCTCTCATTCTGACAAAACAACAGAAAGTAAAGAAAAAAAGATTTATATTGGCTTACTGTTTCAGAGGTTTCAGTCCATGGTTGTTAACTGCCTCCACTGCTTCCAGGCTTGGGCATGACAGAAGAAAGTCACTCACTGTAGGTAAACCAGAAGGCAGAAAGAAAAAGGGGCAGAGAGGAGGGAGCCAGGAAGAAGAGATATCCCCAAGGTCATGCCCCTGTGATACACTCCCTTCAACTAGGATGTATATCCTTTCATTACTTCCCATTAGTGCGTTCAGATAATGGATCCATCTGTGAATCAATCCACTAATGAAAGTACAGCCCTTATGATTCAGTCACCTTCCAAAAGCCCTACCTTAGAACAAGTGAGCCTTTTGGGGGTACATTTTGGATCCAGACGATAACATTGGAGCATAGCTTTCTCTTCTGCAATCATTATTACTTTCGAAAGGACCTATTTATGCCTTATTGAAGAAAGGCAGAATATTCGATCATAAGGTGAAAATCTTTTTTTAGATTTATATAGGAAATAGAGATATCATGTGTATGTTGGGTTTTGTTTGTTTTAAACTTTTCTGATTAAGTCCAAGTGTTTCACACTCTTCTCCTTACTTTGCTTTGCCTGTTTGAAGTTTTTATTGCTAAACCAAGTATTCTGATTAAGCAAGAGTATATCAGATCAGTGTAGTGGGAAGAAAAAGATGAGTGATACTTTGTATTTACCATTTAGACCTATAAATTAGTGGTGAAATGGTCATCATTTGGCCTATCAGTTGAACTAAGGGCACTTGACAGAGATCAGCATTGCCCACATGAAGTAATGAGGTGCTCCTATGCAGAGTAGTTTGGATTCCGCTCTGAATCACTGTTGGGTTTCAGTCACAATGCTTAGAATTTCTTTGATGGTCTTGGGTTTGTGAATGCCCTCTCTTTGTGAGTGGCTTAGCACACTATGTGGTAGTAGATAGACACAGCACACTATGTGGTGTAGTAGACACATAGTTTTTTTCTGAACTATCTGAAAGTAGAAGACTGGAAAAGGAAATAGCGTGGAATCAAGGAAACTAAAGGAGCTAAAAGAAATGTGTGAGCATGATTGAAACTGAAAGTTCACATTAGACTTTTATAGAATGAGGTTGGTAGCATGAGATGAAAGATTGTTGGAATAGTCATAAATGCCAGGTTAGGAAATTCAGATTGTATGAATTGGTAATGGAGAGCCACTTAGCTTCTCTACCAGTCAGGAAAACAGAAACTATAATAGGTGTTTCAATAGAGAATTAATAAATTGGTCAAACAGGTACTGAGAACTGAAGAAAGGGAAAGGAGACAGGCTGTAATGCAAATTTAGAAATAATAGGAAATATAGCTATAACCCTAGAGGAGATCAAATAGAAGTGGTTGTTACTACTGTTAGATTGTAGACACCTTGACAGCTCTAAGGAATTGGAAACAAAGGCCTCTGACGAGTTGCTCAGCTCCACTGGAACCTGAGGATCTCAGCAGAGTGGATGCGGTTGGCTGGTTGCTAGTGCTGTAGAAAGTCCAGGAAAGAAATGTAGAATTAGAAACAGCTGCTTCTGGCAAGTGCAGAGCTGAGAGGCACTAAGCAAGGGGAGGAACACATCCATTCTCCCCTTACCCAGCTCTTATGGCTCACTTTTCTTAATATCTCTCATTATATGTCTCAGTTGAGAAAGCCTCACAGAAAACCAGCTGGCAAAGGAGAAGTGGTTATAGAATGCTAGACTGAGCATTTCAAAGTATGTATATGGCAGTTTAGTTTGAAGCTTAGTAACTGCTGAATCATTTTAGAAAATTTCTAAAAGTGTCATTAAACAGTATCTATTTCTGTATACTTCTTCTAATTTTATAGGATAAGGTGGAGTGCATCAACCCAGTTCATATTCAGCCATGTTGTAATATCTCCATTTAAGTGTTTAAAATAGGTTTTTTAATCTTAAACTTTCAAAACACAACTTTTGGTTCCATAACCCTCAGCTTTAAACATCTCATTAGGTAGAACCATTATCCAAAATCCTAAACACCAGTCATTAATTACTCTGTGTGCCTTATTTTATGCATCCAAGTGTAAGTAAGCCTTGTCAAGCTTTGTTGTTGTTGTTTTTAATTCTACCCCGTTCCTCTTGATCATCTTCTGTTTCCTGGGCTTTGTTCATGCCCAGAATTACTCATTATATCATACTATGACCTCCAAATAGCAAAATAATCTTTTAAAGACAAAAATTCTGTTATGTCAATAAAACACCTATTTAAAATTAAGACACTGAAGTTCCTTGACAGTCTTGTCTGCCAAAGCTGACAAGTGAAATATACTGTTTGGTATTGAAATGCTTTATAAAATTTGATCCTTCTTTGTTTTCTCCAGTTTGTTTGATCAGATTTTATTCCCCAAGTAAATTAATCATGAATTTTTTTGTGTTTGGAGAACCTTCTTTACCTGTTATTTCAAAATCACAGAAAAATGAAGATCAAAATTAAGAAAAGACAAGCTAGCACGTGAATGTATGTGGTTGAGTCTCCGCAAAGTAAACATAATTTATGAAAGTAAATTGGTATATGTGGGAGTCATCAAAAAAGTCTATAGTCTTGGAATACAATTACAGCTATTCACCTATAGAATGAACACACAGAATGCTTATAGACAAGAGCTAGTCTAAGCTGGAGGCAGAAAACCACCCATGCTCTGTTCTAAGGGGCTATGCACAAAATGTTGGAGACATGGCTGTTTGTATGTGTTCAGTTTCTTGAATACTAAACTAGAGATTCAGGATTTTTCTCAGGCAGTGATTCAAATTATTTGTTAGCTGATGCAGTTTTAATGATTTGGGGCATATTCACCCATTTGTTTCAGTTCTACAATAATTTTATTTGTAATGTGAAATCTGATGAATTCAGAAGATAATTTCACTTGAAGGCATCACAGCATTGGAGAAGATAAAATGTAATGGATAAACCCAAAGAATTTGAATCACATAGTCTAGTGGAAGCCAGTTTTGCAATGTGATGTTTTATAACTTTTGGATAAACTACCTAACTAGCCAAGCCTCAGAGATAATATAGTACCAATAACTTAATTTTGTTATAGAGCATAAATGCTTAAATGCTGATTTCATGTCTAGTTCTAATAAAGTAGAGCAGCATATAAATTGTTTTACCTTAAAAATTTAAAACTCTGCTGCCCTCATCTGCTCTGCTTTTAAACATGACGTATTTCTATTAAGAGCTTAATGTAGCTCTTAAATATACTTGATTACAGTACCTATATAGAAATAAATTCTAGTCCTTCTTACTTAGAAATTCCCATAATTCAGAAAGGTGTATTTACAACATGTTTTTGTCTCCACTTAGTTTATTTTTCTGTCTGTGATAGATTGGATTATAGGAGTGTTTCCCTAGACCAGTGATGGTAAACTGGAGCTTTCAGTGATAACAAATCACAGCCCTCTGTGGCACACATGCCATAGGTTCATCTCTGCTGCCCTAGACTCTGCTGGGGAAATTTTATAACCTGTGGTTCATTATCTTCCTGCAAATCTGAAAAATTCTTGAATCTCCAGACATTTCTGATATCACAAGTTTCAGCTATTTGCCATGTCTTTGTTATGTTTCTGAACTTTCAAAAGTAGAGGTACTTTTCATAGTATTTTAATAATGTTTACATAATACTTCCCATGTAGTTCATCTACCTATGACCTAGCAGCTCCATTGCTAGTATTTATCTTAAGATAAATGAAAACTATAGTACTCACAGAAGCCATTTGTGAGAATTTTCATAGTGGCTGTGTTCATTATAGCCCAAGTGAAACAACCAAATATATTGCAGAAAAATGGATAGACAAACTGCTACTTAGCCTTTTATTAAAACAAAGAACTACTGGTACGTGGCAACAGCATGCAAGAGCATTGGTGATACTCTGCTAAGAACAAGAAACTAGACATGAAATAAATTACATATGATTCTGTTCCCTGAAGTTCTAGATTAGGTAGTAGCCAAACTTGGTATGAATAGAATCAGATGGTGGTTGGTGTTTGAAATACAAGGCGACTTCATTGGTACAAACATTCTGTGTCTTGATGTGCATTCATAAGTTGATCTGCTGTTACCCTTAAGATGTTGGGATTTCACTGCATAGAAATTACACCTTAATTTTCTAAAGAGTTTAAACATAAATAGAGTTCTCAAATATTTGAGAACTCTAGGCAACTACAGATAATCACTTGAATTTAGCATTGTAAAATATAGTTTTATGTCGTTAATGCTGGTCCCTGATCAAGGTTCTACAAGATACCTTGTGAAATACCTAGAATTGATTTGTACAGCTTCAGAATGCTGTATATGGTCAATTGTTATCCTTGAAAGAAGTCTAATTACAAACAAGATGACTGGGTGTATAGCTCAGAGACAGAATGTTTGCCTAGCATATATAAGATTCGGGGCTCAATCTTAAGTACCCCCCCCAACAGGACTGTGTTTAAGAGCAGGTCTTAGATTTGAAACAGATATGGCATACACCCTCCAGTAGAGTTTAGGCAGGTTCATATCCCAAATTTTTGCCAAAACAAAGACAACAAGGTTAAACTAATCACTTCCATGGAAAATAATTATGTGGTGAACTTTGTTTTTTCACGAGACACACAGTGTCTTGCTCTATAAGAGTTGTAGAAGTGGTAAGGATAGGAGGGTAATGCTCATTTGCAGCAAGACTAACTGGACTGGAATTCCAGTGCTGCCCCCTAAACCTTCTTCTTTTCTGGAGAGGCATTAATTTAGCCTGCCTTAATGTGTTCCAGTCCAGCATGCATAACCTGCTCTCAGTTTCAGGCGATAACATTGTGGTGGGTAGTGCCAGCACTCTAAATGAAGAGTTTGCTACTCTGATTTTGATTCTCCTCTTTCAGTGATCTCTACTGTTTCCAGTATCCTGTATCCTGCAAGAGATGTGTGCATGTACAAAAGCTAGCAGGCACACATCCATTTCATCAACTTTTCTCTGGTTTTCTCCCATGTTTGACATTGTGTCACCACCTAATGAGTGCTTGGGTATCCAAAAGAAGTAGCTCAGTTCAAACATGTTTTAAATCATCTCTTCTCTCTGTGCAAGACTTCTTTCTCTTGTCATCTTTATTTCTATTTTCAATATTTTTTTTTCTGAAATTGTCAAGCTTGAAAGCAGTATGCCTACTGCTTCCTTCTTTAAAAGTAGTGTATAATATATAATACCTTCAGTATTATACAACATACTTTTACTGTTATATATTCAATTTTGAACCACCTCTTAATAAATTTTAATTTAGGTGATATTAATAGTTTTACTGAACATATTTCTAAAGTTCTGTCACAATGGATTTTGAATTATCCTTTTTCAGTAATGGCTTACTTTTTTTTTTCCGTACCAGGGGGTCAAACTCTGGACCTTGTGCTTGTGAGGCGGGTGGTGGCACCACTGAGCTAAAGTACCCCCAGCCCATTGGCTTGCTTATTTTTACCTGTAATTTCTTTGTTTTTCAAAGAAATCATATTTACCTTTTTTCATTGGTCTTTGTACAACTTGCTGGGAGTCAGGGAACAGCAATCACACAGCTGTACTTGTGTCGTCTTCCTGTATTCTTTTGTAGAATAGGTTTTTTGAAAAAGTTGTTGGTGGGACATTGAATGTTAATCTTCACAGTTTTGCTGCTCATGTTTTTCTTTAACTTTCTGTGATTTATTAAAAGTCTGTTTATTATTTTTTTGCTTCACACTATTCACTGCTGTGATGCCTAAGATCTTTTCGCAATGACAGTTGCACTTAATTCTTTCTCAATCGGAGAGAAATAGAATTACATTACCTTTTTAGTAGAACTTAAAATCAGTATAGCATATATTAAAACATTGTTTTCAAGTAGAAATGTATCCACAAGCCTTTTAGAGTATATTTTGTGTAGTAGGTTACCATCACACTACACACCTTATGAATACACCTACACACTAAGAAATTAGACTTTAATATGTCAGCACCTTTTTAGTTCCTAATCTTTTTTATTTTTCTGATTGAAACAGGTGGCTATAGTCCCATGGTATTTGTTGTATGTAGATCTAACTGAGGTGTCTGGACAATCTCAAATTCTTATTGCTCTTGTGTTTTCCATGTGTAGGCAGAAGGAGAAGATAGCCTGAAGAAGATGCAGCTGATGGAGCTTGCAATTCTGAATGGCACCTACAGAGATGCCAACATTAAATCACGTAAGAATGAGAACTGAGCCCAGGGTGACACTGTCTTAGGCTGTTTTGTCTATAAGCCTTTCCTCCTTTTGGCAGCATAATCCATGAACCATTAGAGTGAAAAGTGGAAGTAAATGTGTTACTTACTATACGACCAACAGTCCAATTTTTGATGCTTCCATAAATTGCAAACCTGATATTTTATGTTAGGATATTATTCTTCAGATGAAATTTCAGCCTCTAAATTTAAAAATTTGAAGAATTTAAGGCTTCCAGTTCATGTTGTTACATTAATGTAAAAGATAAAATTTTGAAAGTGTTTTTTTTGGGGAAAATGAATTTAAAGTATAGCTAGATGAAATGACCCTTATATTGAACTCTTTCCTTTCACCTTGCTTGCATGTTTCACCTCCAGTATTTCTCCCTATTGAATTCATATATGAGTTCACAGAGATCAGTTGGTAGTAACTATTTTCAGTCTGTTTTTTGTTTTTTCTTTTTAAGGGATATGTGCATGTTTTTATAAATTACAATTGATTGCTTTTCTATATTTAATAGGAAATGATATGAAATTTCTATTTTGAGACAAGCTAAGGTTTACACATGCCATTTACATGAACGTAGCATATTTAAATTACTCGTTTAAAAATACATATAATTATAAAGTTCCAGCCAACTTTTCAAAATGTAAACAAGCCAGTGGGTTTAAAAGTAACTGCTTTACAAGTGGTGGATTTTAATTTACTCATAAGCATGTGAGTATATCACTTTTAGTCTTGAATTTAAAAACAGGACTGTATTCTAAAGATCAAGGCAATAATATATACACCTAGTGGTTACTGGCCTTACTTGATGAAAATTATTCTTTGTTTAATTTGAAACTGAAGTTTCACTTTGGAAATATACCAAAACTGTATTTCTGTGGACTCCAGTCATACATTTTTCGGTAACATCTTTTAATGCAAGCATTTTCTTGTGCTTCTGCATGTACTTTGGGTCTCATGAACTATTAAAAGTCAGTATCAAATAGATGAACTAAATATAACATTTTAATTGTCTCATTCACTTTTTTTTTACAGTGGCTTTTTAATTTTTGCACATTCTTAATCACATTGGGAAAGGGAAGGCTGATTGCATTTGATTGGTGTGCTTTGACATTTTTGTGTGATCGGTGCATGTACTAATGATTTCCTTTTATTTTTCTTTTTTCTTGCTTTTCCTTTCTTTTTCCTACTCCTCCCTAATTTTCCCATATTTTTTACTGCTGTCTCTGTACTTCTTTCTAAATTTCTTTGCTTACTGTAGCAGCCCTTGCCTTTTCTCTTGCAGCAACAGCCCAGGCTGCTCCAAGGATCATTACTGGGCCTGCACCTGTCCTTCCACCAGCTGCCCTTCGTACTCCCACGCCAGCTGGTCCTACCATAATGCCTTTGATCAGACAAATACAGACCGCCGTCATGCCAAACGGAACTCCTCACCCCACTGCTGCAATAGTCCCTCCAGGGCCCGAGGCAGGGTTAATCTACACACCTTATGAATACCCCTACACGCTGGCACCAGCTACATCGATCCTTGAGTATCCTATTGAACCCAGTGGTGTATTAGGTAAGTTCTTCTCCATAAGTGGTTAATGGCAGTCTCCATAAATTTGCTGCTCCAGACTTTGAAGTGATTTTGTCAGTTTTAGGGAAGCAAGATAAGTTTCCATTAGGAAAGATTAAAATTTTATTTTAGTTTAACAGTTTCCTTGTTAAAAAACTGCACCTTACGTTTGCATAGGTTCATTTGGTAACTCACAGTCACTTTGGTTGGGTAAATTTACTGCATAATTTTGAATAAGAAATACTTTTTCCACATTGGACTTTATTGCAATTATTCTTGACTTATTTTTGGTCCCACCCCATTGCCCTAGTGCCTCTATTAGCTCCACTTCTCAAAGTTAGATTTTATCTCACAGATTTATTTGGCAGCTAAAATTTAAACTTTCTGTGTGAAAATATTTTAAGAATTTTATAAAATGTATATTATTGTGTTTTTAAATGTTTATAATTACTTGAAATGGAACCAAATTACAAGATTTTTGGTTTTCATCTTTTGAATTTCTAGTTAACATTAAATTTGAGATACTCCTGTAATTTCAGTAGTACAGTGTGGCGTAGATAAGTAAATACTAAGTTACTGATTTCAAAGTCACAGTGGAGGCAGAAATTAAGGTCATAATATAAACACTTAGTTTTACATGAAGAAAAAATGGTGTGCTCGAAAAAGATATTACTGATGCCTTTTTTTTATAGAGTGGATTGAAATGCCAGTCATGCCTGATATTTCAGCCCATTGACTTGCTGGATGAAGGACTAGAATACAGCAGCTGTTATAACACGACCAGTCAATGTGGAACAAACTGTTTCCGTGCAACCCCTTTGTTTTACCAGACAGAATTGAATACTTTTTTTCCTGAATTGTATATGACCTTGGTGCTGAATGCATGCTGTTGACTCTTAGCACTTGGATCTTTTAAAGTTATCCCCCCCCCAGCGTTAATATTGATTTATAAAAAATTGAAAATCTTTAATGAACCAGACTTAAGATTTAAACTTGAAAATTCATTGTTAAAGCCACAGTGCTCTGTATGTTATCTGTGTGTGTGCATGCACTCAGGTGCCTTTTGTTTTATGAACAAATACATTTTATTGTACATGTTTTCTGTCTAAATCATTGTATAAAATAATTATAGGTCAGAGCTATACCACAGAACTATTGATGAGAGGCTTGTTTCTGTTGCACATTTCTTGAAGCATTTTTAAAATAACATGTAACCTATAACCTTATTTAAGTTTTCCTTTCTATTAATACTCTGTCCTGTGGCCCATGCATGCTCCTTACCCCCAGAACTCCTCTCTGCTGCACCCACAGCATCTGTTCCCGAGGAGTTAGGACTCTTGACTTCATACAGGGCTGGGGCTCTTAACTTCCAGCTGCCATCCAGGAACTTTGAATGCAAGATCTCCCTGGTTTTGCCATGTGGAATTTTAGTTGTGTACAAATCACTTATCTAAAATGAAATAAAAAGGGTGATGGACCAGTTTACTGCATAGAAACAGAGAGAGACTGCTGTGCAGTTCGTTTCTGACTCTAAAGTAACATATTTTTTGTTTTCAGAAATGTTTATGAAAACTTAATTATTAGACTGGCAAAATTAAGAGCAAAATATACAGACTCCTAATTGACATGCATAAGGTGATTAATAATGAGTCCTAAATGAAAAAAATTATCCATTGTGATAAATGTTATTTTTCACTTTGCTATCTAAGCAGTAAAATGTGATATTTGCCCCTTGGAGAACTGAGGAAATTATTTTAAATTGCTGAATTACAATAAATTTGCACACAGATAACATGCATGCTATATATAAAGTCTCACATTAAATTATCTTAAAATAAGCATTGCCCTTCAAAACAGATGCAGACTTGTGTGTTGGTGGTAGTGAGGAGATTGGTATTAGCATCAAATCTTCATTGATGACTAATTTTTAATTCCCTTCCTTTTATCTTTAGGTATGGCTTTCCCAACGAAAGGCTAAGAATTCAAGATCGGTCTTAACTGAACCCTCATCAGATCTGAATTTAACAAATGCTTAGTCTCAGCAGCCTCCGGGGAAAAAGCTTAGCCTAGCAGTCAGTGGCTTACTTGCACTTTTTGCACATAGATATAAAGTAAAATCATGTTATTAATTTGGTTTAGTCTGTAATATTACAAAGTAAAGGTAATTTATAAAGGAGTGTATAGTAGTGTACTGACTGCTAAGTGTACTATACTGTTTGCTTTACTAATCACCTAATTCATTGCAGTTCATACTTATTGACTCAGAGTTTAAAACCACAATCTGTAGGCTTTAAGAATCACTTTTAAACCTTTTTTAAGTAACAAACTCCAGAAGTGGTCTTAAGGTTAGTGAATAATTGTCAGTATTAAACATGGCATTATTTAGTCCTGCTGCAAGAAAGGCACTTCAGTGAATATGTGACTAGTAAAGCTCAAATATGTTTGGTTCTAATAGCGCTCATGAAATACTGTAACTTGGAAATTGTAAATGAATGAATGGATAAGATAGGTTAAGGCCAACATGTTTGAAATGAATGCAATATTAATAGATGCATATATGTGACATATTACAGTTAATTTTAAAACTACTGTGCCTTAACGTGTTTCTTAAACTTTTGTAGTAAATGAATATTTGAAATCTGTTTTGATAAACCTGCTGTTAATGTTTTCCCACCCTTACGTATGTTTTCTAACTTTGTCTTGGTGATTGCAATTTAACTAGGTGCGGTGGCTACTAAAGTTCGAAGGCACGATATGCGTGTCCATCCTTACCAAAGGATTGTGACCGCAGACCGAGGTTAGTTTAGTTCTGCAGTTCTTGTTTATAAGAAATACGTTGGGTGTCCATAAAACTTGCAGCACCACACCTGATGGAAAATGTAACTGCTTACCTGCACACTATTTCCTCTCCTTTTCTAAACTCATCTGTAATGATTGACAGGTTTAAGGGTTGGGTTTTTGGGGGGTTTTGTTGTTGTTGTTTGTTTGTTTTGGTTTGGTTTTTTCCTCCCTTCATATTTTAACTTATTAAATTTTCTATAATTATGTACTCTGATTTATTCCTACTAAAACATAAATTAGTTGTTTTGGGGAGCTATTAAATTTTTTTATGTTGCCTTAACTATTTTTTCATGAATAATTTTTGCAAAAACTTTCCTCTTACTGTTCTAAATTCTGGGTTGGCATTGCAAAATGAATTGAATGGATGGTGCTTTAATGAGAGGAGTAAAGGAATATATGCCTCCTGTGTATTTTTGGAGAAAATTGAAGATTTAGTTTCCATTTTTTCTTTATCATAAAACATTTGAGCCACTGTATAAACGTGAGGGTGTACATGTCACGTAATTAGCTGAAATCCACTAAGTCAGGACTGTGAAGATATTTTTTCGTGTAGTGGATTTTTTGAATATAAATTAGAAAATTATTTCCCTGTTATTCTTATATTTTCTTGCCAAAATGAATTCCCTTGTTTTTTGTCATTTGCTGCTAAAATACATTATCTGAAGGTATACTTTTTCTTGAAGTTCTGTGGTATAAGGGATCCAACTGTTTGACTAACCTGTGACTGGAAAATAAGTCTTCATTTTTCTCCTTTTCAGCATTTGTAATTTGTGTCCTATATATGCCCTTGGACCCTTTTATAAATTATTTATACTTTTAAGAGGAGGAGGTATTTTCGGTTTATTGACATTGAATTGTTTCACCACAGGAATCACAAGCATGGTAGCAAAGGATTTTTAAAAATCTTATTATGGCACATTTATTACCTAGTAATTAAATTGGTCAAATACCTCTTAATTTTGTGGGGGGCTGATAGATTTTTCTCAATTTATACTTTTTTATGAATTTATGAAAGACCTGGTTCAAATGGTTCCTTGAATACTCTTGATAAATACTAGTCACAGGTCTTGTCCAGATTTAGAAATAAAATGCCTTTTCAAAGACATTGGTAATATTTACTTAGCATCATAAATAATTAAAGAGGATTGAAGAGTTGTAACTACTATATACATTATTTGTAGTGACTTTTCCAAGAAAAGAATCAACCCTAAGCTCAGTGATTGTCCATAAAAATAGTTCTTGCAAGTGTGCCATGCTCCAACACACCTCCCTTCCTACATAAGAGCAACTTTTCTAGAGATGGGAAAATAAAGGATAGCAATACGAGGAAAGTCACTAGTTTTAAACAGTCCCATGAATAATCTCATGAATAATTTGAAGCTTTATTTATATTGCTGATGTCTAAAAAGTATTTGAAAGTAGTTTTGCTTCTGATAAGGTTTCTTTTCCTTTATCTGTCCCCTTCAGAAGATTTCTCATAATTCTGTTTTAACACAGTAATTATTGATTGACTTAATACTCCAGTGCCTTCAGATAGTTGAATATATTACAAGAAGATTTTGCTGCATTTGGAAAATGTCAGTACATTTCATGCGTGGCATTTTTGTAGTTAAATGTGTTTGGATTAGTTCTATCACTGTTTTTATTCAAAATGCAATGTCAGCAAACCGAAATGCTTTTTTTTTTCCCCCTCTCTTCCCAAAATAACAGTATACTCCTTACGATCACCATATGCACTCATTGGGTCTAAGGGAGATGTCTGAAGTGCTTTCATTTAAATTATTTTATGATACTACTGTTTTCTCTATTTTTGAGGTTTATACTTATTTTTAAAAATCTTTTTTTTTTTTTTTTTTGTACCGGGGATTGAACTCGGGTCCTTGCACTTGCAAGGCAAGTATGGAACCACTGAGCTAAATCCCGGCCCTTTAAAAATCTTTTGAAGAGAAAATTATTATACTTATTTGATGCAAAAAAAAAGCCCTTGGACATATAACCATGTAATTCTATGTAATCATTTAGCATGCTACATGGTTGATAAATACCTAGTTCTTTACTAAAAATAAATCCACCTCTATTATAAACATTTCAAAACTGAATTTGAAGCTTATAAAAGGCCAACTGACTCTTTAGTTGTAATAAACTACAATGGTTTTACACAGTTGATCATACCTGTGTGTACTGTAGGTGGCCACGACTTGGCAGAGGATTTATTCTAGGTGTACTGGTATATATAAATGCTAGTTTGCTTTGTTTATATATTCCACAGTTAAGTATAAAAAATTTTCTGAGTAATGATTTTACAAAAAACATTACTTAACATAATTTGTACAAGAAACTTGAACAATTTTAATCAAAATCTTAATATCAAAATGCTTTAATAGTCCATATTTTGGAATACCTGTGAAGAAGTAGTATGGCTATATCATGTTAAATATTTATTTTGTCCTCAGCATTTTTTAGTTTAAATAAAGTTCTACTTCTTTTTAAGAAATTCAGGGAAGATTTGGACACATTGAAGATACAGTATTTTTGTGGTATTTATACACTGTCCTAAGTAGTAGACTATAGACAACATTTTCATCCGATGAAGGTAATAAATCAGCCCATCATGTAGATCATTTAAACTCTGAACTTTACACATACTGAGTTTTGACTTTGAAGTGGCACAGAATCTAAGTTTGCACTGAGTATCTTTTCATTTATATCTCCTCTGCCTTAGTCACAAATGGCAACAGTACAGAAAATTCTATCAAACCTCAGAATATAGTAGAAATAATTAAGCTGTTGAATGAGTCTTAAAAATTATACTACTGTTAAGTGGACCAAGTTTGGTGAAGCAGAATGTGACAGAGGTTAATTAAGGAAGGAACAACTCAAGGACATTGGGAATGATAACTTTTCCACTTGAGAACTATTTTGTTTTACTGTAATTTTTTAAAATTTTTTGTTCTTTTTTGTTATTTTGCAAAAGAAAATAGTATTTACAGGTGGCTTCTTTTAAACTATAAAATATAAAGCAGGAATGTATATGAAATGTCAGATTTTATTGTATTTGCAGAGTATTAGCTTTGAAATTGAATAAGGAAAGCTGTTTGTAGTTTTAAAATGCCTTATTGGTATCAATTAGAAATTTCTTCTATTTTTTGATGTACTTAGAGCTCTTTTGAGGTATAGAATTTTAAGTGGCAGGATTTTACAGTGTTTACATGCAAGTACATTTTATAAGTGTTCAATATGTGTAAAATAGTATTTTCAACTGGAAAGTGTTGGCCAGTGTAAAAAGACCTGGCGTTTTTCTAGTTCCCATGATGTTGCCTACACTGCTAGACTACAGTTTTGCTTTGTATCATGAGGCCAAGAAAGTCCATGTTGTTTGTAAATAGAATAATTGAAAAGCAATAAACATTTATTGAACAAAAGAAACCTTGTTTGGCCCAGAGTTTATGTCAAACCAAATTGTTCATAGAAATTCAAATTTCTTTAGATTTCATTTCTGTTAATCATCAGTTATTAATAATCACATCCATCATTAATAGTTGCTTAATGCTTGCATCTGAGAGAATACTAATGCTTAATAGCAGTCAGATACTGATAACTGCACTGACTGTTCAAAATTCTGTATATGAAATCTATTCATTGTTTTCCAGTTTCCTTCATTGACTGCTACTAACTATTAGTTGTTAGTTGTATTTTATTTCTATTTTTTTCCCCCTGTTAACCAGTTTTTTGTTTTTTGTTTTTTCCCCCCCATGGGAGTGGGTTCTTCTTCATTTGTTCAAATCATGATATGAAATTGTTCTGATTTTAATTGTATTCTGTAGATGGTGTCAATCAGTTTGTCAGAATTAAACATGCTTTTTTTTTATTAGTTGTGATTAGTTTTTCATGTTGTCATTAAGCCGTCACTAGCTGAAACTAATCTCTTCTCTATCTTTTCTTTTCTTTTTTTGTTTTGTTTTTTGTTTCTAACCACCCAGCCGCCACCGGCAACTAACCTATGACCTTCTGACCTCTGAACTCTTCACCCAATGATGACCTGACCATGCCTGCCTGCTGATCAGTTAACTGGTAATCGCCTTTGCTTGCCTGTCGTCAGTGCAGCGAGCTGAGGCACTTGTCCGTTCGTCTTACCATCTAACCAAACAAAAGACAAAGAAATTGTTCTCCAACTCAGCTTTTTTTTCCCCTGTTTGGGTGAAAGTGGTTCTAGCACCTGCACTGAATAGTAGTAAAGCAATAAGGCCCAACTCATCCCACAGCACTGATCATCTCTCAGTATCCCACCCTAAGCGAACGGTAAGAAGGCCTCTCTTAAGAAGGGAGACATGGCCCTTAACTACTCGATGACAGAGGCAGTTACTGTGAGAGACTTCTAGGAATCTTTTTCTTCTCATAGCAAAGTCAAAGCTCTCTGAATGTACTGTGTGATGATACATCATGCATGAACCTTTGGTCAGGGATGTCATTGGTGAAGTGATTTCAAAAAGTATTCAAAATTTGATATGCTGTTTAGTCACTACAGTGCCCTCAAAGGGCAAAAGTTGCAGCCTTTTTTATATTGCCTGCCAAAATTTGAAGTATTAGAAAAGTGTGCCATGAGAAAAAAACAAGGAGTTTTGAAAAGTAATGCAAAGAACAAACTGCAACACTATTTTTGAAAAGATGAATATCTGAGTAAAAATTAAACTTTATTTTACACCTCCTTAAAAATATATATGAGAACAAGGTACATGCATTATGTGTCACATTACTGGGCAAACTGTTCAAATATTTTTTTTAAACCTCCCTGTATAGAAAAAAATCATTAAGGATGTAAAAGCCATGCTTGCCTATTTGCTGTATACATGTAATGAAATTGTAGATAAAGTGTAGTGCATTGAAACAAATGAACAAAAAGTAGATACTTTTACTATACAAGGGTGCTGGTGCAGAAAAAAATATATATATTTTTGGAAATGTAGCATTTTATACTTTCAAGTGTTATAAAAAAAGAAAAAGAACAAAGAAACCCTTTATTTCATTAAATGATTTTTTCTGGTGGTTGTCAAGAAACAAAAGACCAAAAGAGCCTTTTTGTCTTTCTTTTTTATTTTTTAAGTATTGGAATAAGTCTAAAGAAAAGAAAGTGCCTTATTTTCCTTCATGGTCATTTAGTCAAGTGTCTTGTAAGATCAGCTCCTCCCTTGGAATAACAGTTAATGCATGTTACTCAGTCGCCCAGTATGTGAATGAAGATAAGAGGGGAGACAAATGAGTTGATGGTTTTAATTTTATGATTTGTGCCACGTTATTTTGATGCAAATTTGCCAAATCTGATACTGTGAAAAATTTGATAACTTTTCTAATGTCTGACTAGTTTTAAAACATCATTCTTTTAAAAATCATAATTGAGTACTTTGGGTTCTTACAGTCTTTAGTGTTAGCCCAAAGGATTCTGAGATAGAAATTATGTAAGATCTGAATGTCAGATCAAAAATTACAGGCAAAATTATACCTTTATTGTATTTGGAGAATGGCGATGCATTGGATATTTTAATTGGAGATAATAGTATACCTAGCAAACTTTTTCACAAAATAAATCTTTGTGATTTTCATTCTGGAAAACATTATTTTATAATAACCCAAATTTAATCAGACTTCTTTGTGTCATACCACATAACTGTGTAGTTCATCTCTCTGCTGGTGTAGTAACTGCTCCTTTCGTACACAACTTTTTTGTCTCTTTTTTTAACTTTAAAAGAATGTGAAAAACTAGCATCATTGTGTATGTAAACACTCAACTGCATTTCAGTTTAAAGCTTCCAGTTTCTCATGAAGTTCAGTCAGTTTTGTAGTTGAAACAATTTGTGTGCAAAGCGTACACCTAAACACTTGAGGAAATAATCATTAACTATTCAGTACCAAACGTGGCAAATCTCAAGTGGTAGTGGACTTCCAGCTCATCAACTTGTTCCCTCTCCCGTACCTTCAAAGCTTCACAGTCAAGGTCAGCAGGAAGCTCAGTCGGCACCTTCACGGTGACCTTTCCATTATCTTGTCTCACTTGGAACCGTTTTTCAGTTTATTTACTATGCAATAGACAGTCGTTCTTTTGGACTCAGCTAGCTTTGGTTTAATGTGCCACTGCTTTGTCTTTCTGTTACGCACACAGTTGACAGTTGTTTTGATTTATCTACAATATATGCTGTGCCATTTTGATTTTTATTGTGTTTGGTTGGTTGAATAATTTTGCGACACTCAAACACTTGAGGTGATAGTTAAAAACGATACCAGTATTTGATCCAGTTTCATCTCAACTGTGTTATACCTAGACATTTTAGATGTTTATCAAAGGTCTTTTATGGGGAAGAAAGTAAATGTATGAAATAATAAATGTGTGACATTTATAAGTAATGTTGGCTCAGAACAAACTTTTGAGAACTTAGTTGATAAATTTTTGGATCAACTGAAAAAAAAGCATGACTTTTGAAATCTGAATGCCTTGGTTCTCAGTATTATTCTTTTTGAATTTATTTCTTATTAATGTAGTTTTTAAGACTTCTTTTCTGACAGTATTATGTAATTTTTTAGTGTGGGTAGATGGGAGTGTCGCTGGTATGTTATCGTACAGCTGACATGTATTTTTTGTCTATTCTTTATTACCGTAGTAGTTTCATGCTATGTATGTACCATAACCAACCTATTGCCTATGAGAAACATGTAAGATAATGTATTTACAGCCATTGTTACAAGTTTATAATGTATTTTTCTATCTTGTTTTATATGTATGTTATATAACATTCAAAAAGAATTTTTTTCTTGATTGAGAAAAGGATACAAAATGCAAAATCCACAATTTTGATAACTGAAAATTGCCAATTGTTTTGCAGTACTTTATTATACTGGGTGTCTTGTCTTTTTTGGGCTTTTAGTTAGCTAATGAATGAATACATTAGACACTTTTGGGTTTTAGTTGGGATTTTACATAGCTTGCATTTTAATTCTTTGGTTCTTTGCTGTTTCTATTAACCCATAGCATTATTTTAATAAATGTTATAATACCAACCTACTAACTCTGGACTATGTCTGTTTATTAACCTTTACATGTTTAATTAAAATAAACAAATGAAGACAAAAGAATGTAAAGTCTTGAATTACTGAACTAACCCTGAAGAACATGACCACACATAACATAGCGTGACTTGTTTTTATGTTGTTTGTTAGCTGACATTTCCGCACACTACTGTTAAAATGGCTTTGGTTATTCTGGTCTTTTACCTGGGGAATAGGAACCAGTAGATATGGGAACAAAGTAGCATTTGTTTGAGGCATTTTTCTCCTAGATGCCACTTGCCTTCCAGCATCTGCCTTACTAATTGCACACTTTATTTTTCCTTCTCCAAAATAATCACTGTCTGCTCATAGCATAAAAATTAAAGCAATTCATTGTGATGATATACTCTGAGAAACCAGTTTGATTTGTTATTGCAACATTTCTTTAGGTGACTTTATGGTCCCATTATAAAGCAAAAATCTGATGACATTTTGCCTGTATTAGGTTTTTGTTTTAACTTAACATTTTCCCTTTGTAAAGTGTTGAACTTGTTTAGCCAACTGCTCCTGTAGTAGGAACTGAATTATAGGTAAGGCCAGAGGTAGATTGGATCTGTTTTCCATGACAGTTCAAACTAAGTGATGCATGACCACGATGGGATCCCCCGCCACCTCTTTTCTCATCTAGCCTCCAGCACATTATAGAGTTTTTCTTAAGTCTTTTTTTCCTCTCTCACCCACATCCCAAACAGAATATAACATTGATAAAAAAGTTTAAGAGGGACAAACACTGGGGTTTGAAGAGTTTATATGTGATTAATTTCTTGCATGTAATTTGGTTTAAGATTTCTTAAATATTCTCATACTTTTCTTGACTGCAGCCTGTGTAATGAACCTCTAATTGTGACTTCATTAGTTTAACTCTTGGTAGGTGTTTTTATGTCACAGACAGGTAGTTGGCTTTTCTGTGAAACACTTTTCCTGCGTATTGAAAAAGTTCTCAGGATAAATTTTGCATTTGTAAATAATTGTTTATTTTTGTAAATTTTATTTATTTGGTGTTCTAGAATTTGCGCTAAAAGGAGATATGTGTACTAAAGTCATAACTATCATAAACTCGTAATATGCTCCTAACCAATCAAACTCTCAAATAATTTTCATATTTCATATATGTATGTGCATTTATGAAATTCATAGGATAGCAGTAACTGATTCAATAGCCATCAATGGTCATTTGAACCTTGTAAACACATGTCATTTCTGGGATAGGAGCAGGTAGTACATTATTATTTGGTAGATAAATCTTTGATACGCTACTATCTGTAATCATTTTGCCATAACAATTTTGTGTATTCTGTGCAAATTTAAAGATGTCTGTAAAGCTAATACACAAGTTGTCATGGTACCATATCACTTAAATTGATGAATTTCTATGCAGTTTACTGTTTGCTGCAATCTGGGTGCAATCTCATCTCATCTTCAGTGAAGGATACTTTATATACATGTTATATTGTCACCTTTTATGTTGGAAATGTACAAAACAGTTTTAAAAGGTGAAAATGACATTATAGAACTCACTTTTATACAGGTTGCAATATTAAATGTGAAATCATCAAATTCCTGGAATGATAAAATTCTGGAGTCAGTTTATTGTTTGATACTGTCAATTGATAAAATAATTGATAGTTGAGCTTTCAGTCAAAAGTTAATGAAATTAATGTGCTTAGTTAAAGTGATTTTTTTTTTTTTCCATTTTGTTTTGTTTTGTTTTGCTTCGCTTTTTCCCTTTAGGCAAAATGTCAGGTAAAACAGCATGGAAGTAAATATTCACATACATCCTGTTGTATGTAGCTCAATGCAAGAGTCCACCTGAGGGGTCAAGAAACACCCTGACCATAAAACAGGTGTGTGTATCTGTGTACCCAAGATAGGTATTTGGTTAAGGATTTCTAAGTACTACATAAATGTGATGGATTGAATTTCTTGGTGCAACAAAAGCAAGTGGTAGGCTCAAGTGAAATGCTCTCTGCCAAATCAAGAATCATTTCTGTCAAATCCAACACTTTAACATCTTACATGTGGATGTTTTTGTTGCTGTTGTTTGGTTTGGTTTGGTTTTGCTTATTTACTTGGAACAAGGTATCTGTTAATAACTGCTTGTTACACTGATCCCCACCAGTGATATTTTGTAGAATGAAACATTGCCAAATTATAATTCATTACCTAGCAACAGTTACTGTCAGAAAACATGTTAGACTAGACTTAAATAGTAAAGAATGTCATTTCTTTGTCATAAATCTTTTAGTATCTTTATTTAAAATGGGAAGAATAGCCTAACTCATTTTATGGACAATACTGTTTTGTTTTATTTATTTATATATTTATTTATTTATTTTACTTTATTTTGGATTTTTGAGACAGGCTCTCACTCTGTAGTTGAGACTGATCTGGAACTCACTCTGTAGCCCCGGCTGGTCTCAAACTCACAACAATACTCCTGCCTCAGCCTCCTGAGTGCTGGGATTACAGGTGTGCGCCACCACGCCCAGCTAACAATACTATTTTAGAAATAGTCATGGTACATGTAATTTTATCTGTGGTTGCTTCAATATAAAATTATCTAAATTGAATTGTCTTTGTTTTGAAGAGCCTTAACAAAAGTAGAATCACAATCAGTACTCAATGCTGAATCAAACTGGTTAACCTAAACTCCCCTTTCTGTTTTCTGCTGCACTAATTGCCAGGCATTGGGAGAGAAGGGAGAGGAATTCATTCATGATAAGGTAGACGTGAAAGCTGCAGCAATGTACAACATTAACATCACATTACTTATTTGCTGTCCTTAACACAACACCTCACTGTGGAAAGATCCCAGCTCCCAGGGTAAAATTAACTTATCTTTTAAAAAGTGCTATTATTGAGAAATTTTGATTAGCACATAAAGCTTTTGTGGTTTAAAATAGTGGTATGTGTAAAACATTTAGAATTTGTGGAAATTGT